TGCGAAGCAGAGTACATAGCTGCCTCGGAGGCAGCGAAGGAAGGCGTCTGGATGAAGCAGTTCATGACAGATCTTGGAGTTGTGCCCAGTGCACTGGACCCGATGACTCTATTTTGTGACAACACTGGTGCCATTGCTCTAGCTAAGGAACCAAGGTTTCACAAGAGGACCAAGACATAAAGCGACGCTTCAATTCAATCCGTGATTACATCAAGGAGGAAGACATAAACATTCGCAAGATACATACGGATCTGAATGTTGCAGATCCGTTGACTAAACCTCTTCCAAGGGCAAAACATGATCAACACCAGAACTCTATGGGTGTTAGATTCATTACCATGTAATACTAGATTACTGACTCTATCGCAAGTGGGAGACTGTTGGAAATATGCCCTAGAGACAATAATAAAGTGGTTATTATTATATTTCCTTGTTCATGATAATCATTTATTATCCATGCTATAATTGTATTGACTGGAAACTCAAATACATGTGTGGATACATAGAGAATAACATGTCCCTAATAAGCCTGTACAGGACTAGCTCGTTGATTAAAGATGGCTATGGTTTTCTAGCCATAGACAAGAGTTGTCATTTCATAACGGATCACATCATTAGGAGAATGATGTGATGGACAAGACCCAAACTATAAACGTAGCATATGATCGTGTCAAGTTTATTGCTACCGTTTTCTGCATGTCAAGTATATGTCCCTATGACCATGAGATCATGCAACTCACTGACGCTGGAGGAGTACCTTGTGTGTGTACCAAACGTTGCAACGTAACTGGGTGACTATAAAGGTGCTCTACAACTATCTTCGAGGGTGTCTATTGAGTTGGCATGGATCAAGACTGGGATTTGTCACTCCGTATGATGGAGAGGTATCTCAGGGCCCACTCGGTAATACAACATCACAATGAGCTTGCAAGCAATGTGAGCAATGGGTTAGTCATGTGATCTTGTATTACGGAACGAGTAAATAGACTTGCCGATAACGATATTGAACTAGGTATGTAGATACTGGCGATCGGATCTCGGGCAAGTAACATACCGATGGACAAAGGGAACTGCATACAGGATTAGTAAAATCCTTGACCTTGAGGTTCGACCGATAAGATCTTCGTAGAATATGTAGGAACCAATATGGGCATCCAGGTCCCGCTATTAGTTATTGACCATAGAGTTGTCTCGGCCATGTCTGCATAGTGCTCGAACCCGCAGGGTCTACACACTTGATGTTTGGTGACGATATAAGTATAGTTCAGTCATTATGGTGGTTACCAAAGGTTGTTCGGAGTCCCGTATAAGATCCCGAACGTGACGAGGAACTCCGGAATGGTCCGGAGGTGAAGATTGATATATTGGACGAAGGGTATTGGAGTCCGGAATTGTTCCGGGGGTACTGGGTGATGACCAGCATCATCGAAAGGGGTTTTGGCGGGCCTCGACAAGTGTGGGGGGCCCATGGGCCAAGGGGAGGGGGCAAACCAGCCCACTAAGGGGTTGTGCGCCCCCTCACCCTTTCCAACGTAACCAGAAGGGGTGGGGGCGCTCCCCTAGGGCAGCCACGCCCTTTGCCTTGGGGCCCAAGGCTCCCAGGGGCAGGCGCACCAAAACCCATCTAGGGTTTTCCCATGGTGGCCGTCGTGAAGGAAATATGCCCTCGAAGCAATAATAGAGTTTTTATTTTATATTTCCTTATTCATGATAAATGTTTATTATTCATGCTAGAATTGTATTGATCGGAGACCCAGATACATGTGTGAATACATAGACAAACACCGTGTCCCTAGTAATCCTCTACTTGACTAGCTTGTTAATCAAAGATGGTTAAGGTTTCCTAACCATGGACATGATTTGTCATTTGATAACGGGATCACATCATTAGGAGAATGATGTGATGGACAAGACCCATTCGTCAGCTTAGCATAATGATCGTTCAGTTTTTATTGCTATTGCTTTATTCATGTCAAATATATATTCCTTCGACTATGAGATTATGCAACTCCCGGACATCGGAGGAATACCTTATGTGCTATCAAACGTCACAACGTAACTAGGTGATTATAAAGATGCTCTACAGGTATCTCTGAAGGTGTTTGTTGGGTTGGCATGGATCGAGATTATGATTTGTCACTCTGAGTAATGGAGAGGTATCTCTGGGCCCTCTCGGTAATACACATCATAAGAAGCCTTGCAAGCAAAGTGACTAATGAGTTAGTTGCAGGATGATGTATTACGGAACGAGTAAAGAGACTTGCCGGTAACAAGATTGAACTAGGTATGAAGATACCGATGATCGAATCTCGGGCAAGTAACATACCGATGGACAAAGGGAATTGTGTATGTTGTCATAATGGTTCGACCGATAAAGATCTTCATAGAATATGTAGGAGATAATATGAGCATCCAGGTTCCGCTATTGGTTATTGACCGGAGAGGTGTCTCGGTCATGTCTACATAGTTCTCGAACCCGTAGGGTCCGCACACTTAACGTTCGATGACGATATAGTATTATATGAGTTATGTGATTTGGCGACCGAATGTTGTTCGAGTCCCGAATGAGATCATGGACATGACGAGGAGTCTCTAAATGGCCGAGAGGTAAAGATTGATATATAGGACGATGGTATTCAGACACTAGAAGTGTTCCGGAGAGTATCGGGTACATATAGGGTCACCAGAAGGGGTTCCGGGCACCCCTCGGAAAAGATATGGGCTTAATGGGCCAAGGGAAAATCACTTCAACATCACCGTCACCACGCCGTCATGCTGACGGAACTCATAAACTACCTTGACACCTTGCTGGATCAAGAAGGCGAGGGACATCATCGAGCTGAACGTGTGCAGAACTCGAAGGTGCCGTATGTTCGGTGCTTGATCGGTCGGAGCTAGAAGAAGTTCGACTACATCAACCGCGTTGTGAAACGCTTCCGCTTACGGTCTACGAGGGTACGTAGACACACTCTCCCTCTCGTTGCTATGTATCTCCATGGATAGATCATTGCGTGTGCGCACAATTTTTTTCTTTTCCATGCAACGATTCCCAACGCGTCGCCCCCCTAGGGAACCCTAGGGCACCCCCTCCTCCTCCCTCCCCCTATATATAGAGGGGTAGAGGGAGGGCAGCCGCACCCATCTATGCCACGGGGCTGCCCTCCCTCTCTCTCGTAGTCATCTTCTTCTCCATAGTGCTTAGCGAAGCTCTGCCGAGATTTCTCCACCACCACCGCCACCACGCCATCGTGCTGCCGGAGGACTCGAGCTACTACTTCACAATCGCTCGCTGGATCGAAGAGGTGAAGGTGTCATCAAGCCGTACGTGTGTTGAGCGCGGAGGTGCCGTCCGTTCGGCACTTGGATCGGGAGTTCGCAGGACGGATCATGATTGGATCGCGAAGACGTTCGACTACATCAACCGCATTTCTTAACGTTTCCGCTTAGCGATCTACAAGGGTATATAGATGCAATCTCTCCTCTCGTAGATGGTCATCTCCTAGATTGATATTGGTGAGAATAGGATTTTTTTTTGTTTCCCATGCAACGTTCCCCAACAGAATCACCCGCGCTGCTTGTTGGCTCGTCTCTTAACCCTAGATTCCCATGGTAAGGAAGAGAAAGGAAATCGAATCGTGGGAAGGTATGGGACAACTCAGCCTCAAGATGTTTCCGTACCGATGTAGAGGATTCTTGCGGGGTTTAGATTGCAATTCGTACATCCTTCCTTCTCGCATTGCACATTTTTATCCAATGGTACAAGATCAAGTTTCCATGTTTTCGTTGAATGTCCAGTTTCCACTAGATTTGCACTCTTCCTATAAAGGATGTGCTGATCTTGGAGGAGACAACCCAATGAGCCACGACTTTGTCCCCTCCTTCGTTTGCTTTGCAAATCTAGCCAATCTAGAGAAGAGGGAAGCACTACATGAGCCACGGGATAAAAGAGAATGGGGCAAAGTAGAAAATATGAAGGGTACAAAACTGCATGAGCCACGAGACAAAAGAGAATGGGGCAAAGTAGAAAATATGAAGGGTACAAAACTATCCTCATACATGGGGTCCTAGATCCAGTACGACGCCACTAAGGAACGCTCAGACGAGTACCCGCATGGTTGGCCGGACAATCGCTAAGAGGAATCATTCATGCCGCTCGCTGACCGCCGACCCAACATGGAACGCTCGAAGGAGGGCTGCCACTGTTGGCGGGACAATCACTAGGGAGGAATCACCCGCGCTGCTCGCCGGCTCGTCTCGTAACCCTAGATTCTCATGGTAAGGAAGAGAAAGGAAACCGAATCGTGAAAAGGTACGGGACGACTCAGCCTCAAGATGTTTCCGTACCGATGGAGAGGATTCTCGCGGGGTTCAGTTTGAAATTTGTACATCCTCATCCTCCCTTCTCGCATTGCACATTATTTATCCAATGATACAAGATCAAGTTCTCTTGTTTTCGCTGAATGTCCGGTTTCCACTAGATTTACACTCGATGCGATTGTACCGTGTTAGACTGCTCACAGTGAGGAGTAACATGGAGTAGTAACTTGTCGATGTTATTAATCTATGTTACTACCTCCATAGTGGATAGTAACATATGAGTCGTATCATGAAATAGTTCATTTATTAGGCTATAGACTCATTATGCCTTGAAATGTATGATGTTATAGTAACTACATAAGTTACCACAAATCTCTCTTTCCTCATTAATTAACTGCCACATAAGCAATCTTGTATTGTAATGTGTGATGTTACTAGTTAAGTTATTTTCATTGTGACTAGTCTAAAGAAAACTTGGAGGGAATAGAGAGTTACTTTTGCTAGCAAATCCGTGTTCTTGTAGGGATTAGCATGTTTCCAGTACTATATATGTCAAGGGTGTTTCTGAAAAGAGAGAGAGAAGATAACCCGACGTGCAAACCCCGAAGGCCCAAACCCCAGTAGGTCTCGCCCCTCCCGATCCGAACCCAGACCCAAAACCAACACCGGCGGCGGCTGCAGCGATGGCGGCGGCGGCGATGAACACGGACGTGGAGGCGGTCGACTTCGACTCCGACGACGACGATCTCATGGACGAGGAGGGTGCCATCGAACCCTCGCCGGCCCCCGCTCCCCGCCTCCGATCTACCATCGCAGGGGGCGGCGGCGGCGACGACGATGCCCCGCGTAAGACTAAGGGGCGCGGCTTCCGCGAGGACCCCAACTCCTCGTCCGCGCACCGCGACTCGCGGTTAGCTGGCGCAGGCCGCTCTGGCTTCGACGCCCTCGCCTCCGATGGCGGCCCTGGACCCGTGCGCTGTACGTCTCCATCCCTGTCCCTCCCTCCCGTGTTTCCCGATAAGAAGATTTCTAGTCAGGTAGGGCGGCGTGGTCTGACGCTCGCGTAGGTCTGGTAACCTAGTATGTTTTCTTCTTCGACGTGTTAGTTTTGCTGTTTGAGGAACGAGATCTGAATGCCAAGGCACTGCAAAGATCCCGTCTTGATAGGTTTCTTCCGATGCCCATGGGCTGCTGCGTACGGCAAGGAGATATTTGGGTTCCTTGCTGCTATAGATTGCCTTTTTCTTGAGCAATGTAGATATGCAGATGGATGCTTTGGGCGATTTGGTCGGCTGGTTTCCTTGGGGTTGGAAATTGCTGCGTGTTCATAGTTTACCAAGATTGTTTACCTATGATTTTAGTGTAGATCTCTGAACCGTTTCATCCTACATGTTAGTGACCAGCGTGGAGCATAAATACGATTCTTTTTGGATGTTTGCCTCAGGATTCGTTTTCTGCTTGAGACTGTGGGTTACTTTTAATTGCAGCCCGTGAGTTGGTTTGCTGGGATGATTATTTTTTGTTTGTGAAAAAGATTTTTTTTAATGTGCTTGACTGCTGAGGTTGTTCTTTGATTGAAGCTGTGGCTATCTTACTTCTTGTGATGTGAACGGTCATGACTTAGGGCGTTGCCTTCTGTATTATTTTTCATTACATAATTAAATTAATAGTCCCCTTAACATTCAGTTCCTCCAATAAGCTTGGTACGAATTGATAAGCTCTGAATGCAGGAAGGGAAACCTTAGAGCTTTCTTCGCTTATCTTCCCAAGCAGACCATATTTTTCTCATTATCCTATTTCTCTGTCTTTCCAACCAGCATTCCCCTTAACATTCTGTATTATTTTTCATTATGCAATTGATGGTGCTTGATTGCCATACATCCACAAAACCTTTGAATATTTTTAGTCTCAACTTCTGTTGAGTTCTATTAGCGAAGTGTTGCATGACATACTCCCGTTGCTATTTTCTGCTCATACCAAAGCTTGCTTTGTATAAAGCAATGAATCAAATAATATACTATTAGTAACTAAATAACTGCAACTGCATTTCTGGACGCTGTCCTTTTCAATGTGTATTTCCTTGCAGAAATTGTCACTAATGGAGTTATTTTCTTGTATGCTTTGCCTTGTGTACAGCCATTGAAGGGTGGATTGTACTGGTTACTGGAGTTCATGAAGAAGCTCAGGAGGAGGACCTCCATAATATTTTCGGGGATTATGGTCAGGTCAAGAACTTGCATTTGAATTTGGATCGCCGGACTGGATTTGTGAAGGTATGCTTCCTACCACCTCTAGTCCTTACATTTTGCGGAGATGCCATTCGGTTTAGTTTTGTTTTCTAGTTTTGCACTCGTGAAATCCTCAGGCTATTCCTTAATTATGAGTAAGACAGGCAGCATAGTTTGTCATCCATAGAATAAGAACAGGGTTTGCTTGCATCCTTTCTTATCCCCTCCTTAATATATGTGTGGCTTCCCTTCTCCTATGCAGGGATATGCTCTAATTGAGTATGAGAACTTTGAGCAAGCCAAGCGTGCAATAAGAGAATCAGACGGAACTGAGCTTCTATCGCAGATAATAAGTGTTGACTGGGCATTTAGTAATGGCCCTGTCAAACAGAGAAGTACTCGGAAGAGGTATGGTTTATGTGAGCTTTCGTATTTAGTTCTCTTTTTTTTTGGTTATGTTAGAAGGAAACTGCAGGCATGACAGCTACAGGTTTGATTTGCCCAATATATGTGTGAGAACCTTCCAGATATAGTGATAAAAACGTTGCTTAGGTACTCTGAACTACAAATTAGTGTCCAACTGGCCATAATTATCATCCATATATGAGGCTTTTAGGCAAGCACTAAAGCAGGAGCCAGCTCTAGATTTTGGCGCACAGACTGCTCGGGTGAAATGTCACCAGACGCTTACTTGAGAGTTGAAAGTGGGGAGAGCAAATCATTCTAAATTATGATAAAAAAATTAGACTAGGAATGAAGAATATAAATCTACAGCGTGTTTGCTTGGGGGTAGTTAGAGCTAGGGAACGAGCTAGGGAATGGGAATTGAAGGGGTATGAGACTTCAAATCTATTGTTTGGTTAGGGGGATTGGGAATTCATATGGGAATAGTCATGGGACTTGAGACTCCAACTCCCACCGTTTTATTAACAGGGGAGGGGGGTGGGAGTTGGAAGGGAATTGTTTTGTTTTAGTGAGTCAATCTTAACCCTTTATCATAACTTATGTTAACTTCCTTGTCTAGTCCCTCGTCAATTCCCACAAACCAAACAACAGAATACAGTTTCTCCTCAAATTCTCACACATAATTCCTATCATGCGCCAAACGGAGGATTGGGATAAAATGACTCATCCCATGTCTAATCTCAATAGAACTCCCTACTCTAAATTCCCATTCCCCTTCCCAAATGTTGCCAAACATGCTAGGTTAAGTTTGCTAAACCTAGTTTGATGAAGTTAGTTTTGGTTTGGTACTTTGGTTAAACGTGTACTGGCCACCCAACTGAAAACCACCAAATCATTATGATAAAAAGAACATTAGGAATACAAATTATAAATCTAAATTATAAGTTTGCTAAACTTAGTTGTTAGTAATTGGATGAAGTTATGTACCTTCTGAACTCTTCTTGCATGCTTAGTATAATCCCAAGAAGATTTTTCCTGGCTGGTTTTCAAGTTCTTGAAATGCTTTAATCTGAGGGGTTGGGGTTCACTTCATTCATAACACATCCTTGGAGGAATGCCAGATTAAGTATGTTATGAGGTCCCTGGTTAATTACACAAGTTATCCTTTATTCCTTTTGTACTCTCCCAAACAAGTAGTTTTCCCCCCTCTGCTTTATGCACTTCTTTTCTAATATCTGCTGAGATTCCCCAAGTAATAATGTAGTACTCTCTCCGTCCGAAAATAAGTGTCTCAAGCTTAGTACAACTTTGTACTAAAGTTAGTTATTTTAGGACGGAGGGAGTATTTCTACAGTAGTTAATCATAGGGGATTTCAGTTAAATTTTGGCCAAGTGCTTTTGGCTATGTAATATGATTTCATGGATTTTAATTATACATTGGCTTGTACATATGATTGATTTCTTCCAATATTTCCTAGTTTTACCTTGGCGATGCTTTTCTTGTCTTTGTTTCACTTTTTAATCATAGTCTGAATCCGAGTCACCGACCAAATGCATACATAGTTCAGTATGTTCTTTACACAGCTCTCAGAACAGAATATAATACTTGAGTTTGTACTGTGTTCATTTCAGATCACCGAGGCCTAATCGCTCAAGGAGCCCACCAAGGAGAAGATACCCTTAGGAGCGACGGAAGTGCGAGAATCATGGGCTTTCAGTTGTTTGCTTGTCTTATCGTAATTTGACGGCGGCCCTTGTCTCTCTGTACCAATTTCCGGTAGTAGTTGTATGGCATCTTCAAGGTCCTTACTTTGGTGGATGGAGCCATGTTTGCTCTTGAAGTTTGGCTTGCCAGTTTGAGACAATTGTAGCCTTTGATGTTGGATCCGTGATGTGTTGGATTGGAATGTTTGTGCCACAATTTAATGAACTTGAAGATGGGTAATTTGTATTATTATTTCTTCTATCATTATTTTTTACTCATCTGCCCAACTTGTTTGATAGACTTCTGTTTTTCTTTTCTTCACTTATGCCACATGCCTGCTTGTCAGTTTACTGGGTCCCATCAGGCCTTTATTGAGCATTGCAATTTCGCTAAGCATAAGAGCAAGTACGATGAGGTAATGTAGGTAGGCTGTAATACTTTAAATAATATATTTTTGCTGAGTTGGATGAGAGAGAAGAGAAGTGGGCTTTAACATGATCTCCAACACTCTTTGTGAGAAACATGTGGGTCATATATTGATGTAGTATACTAGTATGACTAACTATTGTATGAGTGGGTTATAAAATTGACTATAAGTGACATGGCAAATTCATGTAGCCGATTGTTGGCTATACTATTAACCATGCTTTTTAAGGGCTACCTTCTGTGTTCGTCGACTTGCGCGAGCACGTAGTTTGTCACCGCACAGCCAGTTGTCCTCATTGTAGGCCGAGCTGCATGGCCTTGCAGCTCGCTTTGCCTCCACCCTCTTGGTTGCAACATCGCTGTGTGGGGTTCCAACATTGCCACCAGTCATTGTCGTAGCATGCCACGCGCCTGTCGCATCACCCATTGCTTCGCCATGCAATTTTTGTTGTCGCCGCAGCCGGTTGAAGCTTTCTTGGCCGCTGGTTGCAACATTTTGTGGTTGCCTCGTCTCGGGTTGAAACTTTTTTAAAAGCTGGTTGTAGCTTTCTCACCCGCCGATCGTAGCATTTTATGATGCTGGTTGCAGCTCCTCCGTGCGACGGTGACATCCCCTACTTTCTTTGGTTCCTGCAGGAAAAAAAACCGACGACGCCGATTCATAGCATTTGACGCTGCTGGTTGCAGCTCCACTGAGCGCCGATCGCGACCCCTGCTCTCTATTTCCAGCAAAAAATGGCGCCAACGGTAGCAATTGGTGCACTGGTTGTAGCTCCCCTACCAAGTTCCTTGGGATACGTGCCTGCAGTTGTAGCGCACGGTCCCAACATCCGCGGTAGCCAATTCTAGCATCGGTAGCACGCAGGGTCACCCATGGTCACCGTGGTTGCTGCTGTTGAAGCACACTGGGGTACTAGCTCTCTTTCCCCGCATCAGCGACGGCGCCTTAGTGCTGGCCAGCAGCAGCCGCGAGGAGAAATGGCTGTGGAGCAGGGCGAAGAGAAGAAAAAGAGGCAGAGGACGTCATGCGCGAGGCGTTTACCTAAGCATAATGGGCAACCAATTGAAGCTGTCGCGACTCACTACGGTGTTTGAGGCTACTGACGTGCAAAGAAGTCGGGTTTGCGTGCAACACCATTTCATAAACTTATTGTTAATCTTACGACCAGGACGCCGCTTGCATCGGCATTGCGAAGTAAATAAAAAAAATATGCTCGTATGCATCTCAATTTTGATGATTTATTCACCCGAATTTTTGTAGCCCCAGCCCCTCCAGGTCCAGCGAACTAAAGTAAAAAATCTGTGCCCTAAAAAAAAGGTAAAAAACCTGGAGCAATGTGTTCAGTTTGATTCTGTGCTGGAGTTAAAAAAGATGTAGAGGTAAAAGTATCCATGATTCTGTGATTGTGCGTCAATGTGTTCAGATTGAAGAAAAACTGAAATAACTAGGGGTAATATATCTATTTTCATCACGGTGCAGCATATCTGATTCGGACACTTGACAACGCGAGGCAGAGTAATAACCAGCCTTAAGTTTACAACTTTTACCAAGTATAACAATCAGTCAATGGATCACACCCCAGATACTCTCATCAGAAATGTCACGTGCCTATGTGGCCGATTCCGCAAAGGCATCTATCAACCATTTCCTCAATGTATCTAGAGCTACGTGGTACTCCCTCCGTTCCAAAATAGATGACTCAACTTTGTACAAATTTTAGAACGGAGGGAGTATAACACTAAGGAGCTGTTCGGCAATCCACCGGCTCCGCGAAATCCGAGGATCTGCAGAGCACCTGCTCTCCTGCTCCGTGATTTTTAACTTCAGCTCCGCCAGCTCCGGGAGCGGGGTCACAGAGCGGGAGGGACTCCAAACAGGCCCTAAGTATCCGTAATGCCCGTCAACCCCATAGGGGGGTCAACTTGGTGTGCCGCATTACCAGCTTATCTCTGCTGCCCTGCTGCGTTCCTTCGGACCCGAAAGGGGTACCGGCGGTGGGAACCGTTTCCATTAGAGGGCCCGTTCGGTTCTGCCATAGCAGCTCCTTTGACAGTGGCAGGAGATATCTGTCGCTTACTGGAACTGCGGGTACTCCGTCGACTGGGGTCTGATGATTCATGTGCCTGCCCCAACTTTTCGGTGGACGCCAGGATGGTGTCGCTCCGATTGCTTAGCTTAGATATGCTGCTTGTGTCCGATGAGGGTCTTTTGACGGTTGGAGATCCCGGGGCTTCATCTTCATCTGTGATGCTGTCTTCTATATCTGAAACCAGGGAATAGCAAAGATGGTAAGTTTCCCGGGGCTAACATATCCCTGTGAAGTCTTTCATTGCTTCACAGACAGTACATGAAAAGCTACAAGGGAAAATAATACACTTCACTGAACTGGATTAACTAAATATCCCAGCTGTGCTCAGTCAACAAAGGAACTAGGACTAGATTCCAATTTTGGGGTTAATGTGGCCAATAACATGGCTGTTTAATAATTTGTTAATTGAAATATTAAGACAGCTCGCCCAAGGAAAAGGGGAAAGACCATAGGACGCATCTAACTGCTACTCCCTCCGTATCAAAATAGATGACTCATCTTTGTACTAAAGTTAGTACAAAGTTGAGTCATCTATTTTGGAACGGAGGGAGTACCTTTTAACTTTCAAGTTTCAACAGTAATCTCTTGAGTTCTGTAATGCAACTTACCTCGGAAGCTGTTCCTGTGTTCCTTCATGGTTGGGTACATCCTTGTTGTCTTAACAATCTAATGCTTTAGTGTGGCTTACTGTTTGTTACTTCCCCATTTATGTTCTTGACTCTAGAATTATGTAAAGCATTGAAAACCACCAGGCGCAGATGAAACTTAATTTGAAGGTAGACCGTACCATATTAATTAGCCTACTATGCATGACAGCCATATATTTCCACAAAAGGTCAGCCGTACCAGATTTAGGATGAACCAGACGAGCAGCTTGCCAGTATTTCCCTTTTGCCTGACCATAAATAGATACACTGTAAGATGTATACAAAAATAGACAACAGTTTAAACTGTGGTATATAAGTAGAATCCATTCCACAACTGGTCAAGGATCACCTCAACGGCCTACTACAAGCATTAATCAACAAAATGTATTCAGAAGCTAGAACCTAAGCATTAGAAACTTACCACCGAAACAGGTACAGTCCAACCTTTAATGATGGACCAATCAAGTGCAGGCCTCAGGTCCTTTTTCTTAGCAGGATGTTGCCCGCCTTCACCCATGGGAGGATCCAACAGCATTACCTGTAGAAAAATGTCAAGGACAAACACGTGAGTTATTGTCCCCGGTTAACCAGCATGAAAACATGGAGATTAAATGATACTCCCTACTAAAGTTGTACTAAGTGAGCAGCAATTAATATGGATCGGAGGGAGTAACACAATTCGGCCCACTTCATATTTTAATTATTGACCAGAGCATGGAAGTTCATTTGGTATCATATTATTTTGTGTCATCTTCACCAGCAAGAAAGTTGATTGTGTTATCAGCCCCTAAAGCTATTGGACCACCAGATAACAAGCACAAAAAAATGATTGAGGTATCCACATGGCAGTAACATGAAACATAGTGGTCCACGATAACAGCGAACAATGAGAGAGTTAATGACAAGCAGGAGCTAATTTATGACTAAAACAGCAAATTACTAGATGTTTACCTGAACCACATCTCTACTGTTCAACCTAATAATTTCCGCAGTCCAGTAACAATCTGAACACCGCCAGTCAACCTTGTCACCTACTTTCCAGGTATCACAAACACTTGCAACAAGCTCATTCTTTGGAAAGTGCGCAGGAACTTGTCCCCCCCTATACCAATGAGGAAAGGCAGGACGCAACATTATTTCAGTACTCTCACTTGATTTCCCTTCCCCGCATGCTGGGCTGAGTGGGTTCTTTTGAAAGACTCTGATCCATTCATTCTCTGCAAAAGGGCATGGACAGTAATGATATGAGGTGCACAGAAAACCAACAGTTATAATCTTGGTCAGATTCAAGTGTTCCAAGATTTTCTGGTGTCTAGTATAAAGGTAATTAATCACGGCAAGACATAATTGCACTACATGGCTACGGCCAGCAACTGTCCTGCCCCCACTCCCAGACAAGATAAACATTTGGGCAAGAAAGCACATGCTTTATTGGGTACTAGACAAATGTTAGTGCACTGGTTGATCAATTGTCAGGTAAATTGGAATGCAAGGTATAGCCAGATGTTTTCATGTATTACTAGCTCTGCAGATTCGAATACAGGCTTTGCAACTTCCTGTTCAAACATCAAACCAAACTCATCAATTATGATCTGTACAGCACAAACCATTTTGGGGGAGATATAAATAGAGAGATCACATGGTTTTTCAAGCACTGCATGATCCATCTCATTAAAGGTAAATAGTGTTGGCCAGGCATCATACATGATCCATTAAAAGCTTGAGGCAATATTATAAGATTTGTAAAATACAGATGTTTCTTCATTATATTGTAGATTCCTGCTCAAGGGTACCACCTACAATAATGTTTAATCGT